GTCGATGAATCTGTAACCTCATAATCTACACGCAACACTACAGACTAAAAAAATGTGTGTCAAATGGGGGCTTACATTACACAATTACAATTTATTGAATAATAAGTTTAATTGAACAAAATATTATTAAAAAAATTCTCAAAATTTCAAAGTAAACGCGTTTTCCATTTTTATGTTTTCGAAAACTGTTTTTCAAAATGGCAAAAGGAACGATTTTTAGAAATTTCAAAACAGACACACAAAACACAAAACAAATTCAAAACGCAAAACACAAAACACAAAACTGAAACACAAAGAGAACGGCCCTAAATATTTCAGAATCTCCAAAACCCTAGATATAAACTGCCATCTGCGATCCGAGTGTATTATATCCGAAGCTAAGTGTTCATCATCTCTTACCTCATAAACCTAGGCGGAGCAGAGATCGCCGAGTTTTGGATCCATTAGTCTTCGCACTTCATATTATCTGTGGATTTCCTCGTACGAATTCCCCCATTTATCTTTAAGTGCACACACACATATTGTTTTTTATTTTTTAATTCTTTTGCATCTATATTTCTGCCCTTTTCTACATACTGATTAGTAATTAGGTTTGCTTAACTGAATGTTTGGGTTCGTGAATTAATTTTTTACATTTTTTCTTGAATAGAAATGAAGGTTATCGCGGCTTACTTGTTGGCCTGTTTGGGTGGCAACACCTCCCCCTCCGCAGATGACTTGAAGGATATCCTTGCCTCAGGTTCTCCTCTCTTCAAATTTATATGCTTTGTCTGTGACGATTGAATTCTAAGATGTTTCTTAAAATTTTGTATGCTTTTCTTAGTGTAAATGCATTCTTTCACTATTGATCTGGTGAAATGATGCTAGATTGCGCGAATTTAGTTCTTGTTGCAGTCTATTTATGTGTTAGATACTGGGAATTTGATTACATTGCTTATGTAACTTAATTATAGTTATGTGCTTAATTCCAGTGTTTTAACTTTAGAATTTGTGTATGTTAATTTTCTTTAAAAGTTTGGCAACATAGAATTGATGACAGTTAAAAATTCTAATTTGAATTGTTGTCCACTCAATTTGTAGAATCTGAATTCTGAATTGAAGTTGGCTTGGCCAAGGATAAATGACAATTAGGGATTCCTTGTTTATATTAAATCTCGAAATCATATTGTACGAATTCGTCGACATTATATGTTCCAGCAACAAGTGAAACAAATGTGTATGGATTACTATGTGTGCTGATATGAATTGCTTATAATATGTGATATGGAACGAATGTAGGTGCCATTGCTGATTATGTGGCTTCAAACATTGTAAAGGTATTTTTGCTAGGGTTAAGTGTCTTTTGTGGTTGTTGGACCTCCTCAATGTTTTTGATAACTGGTTTAATTTTTATTGACCTGCTGTTTCAAAATGCATGCTAATTTGAATTTATTGTTTCCGGGAGTGGCTTTTTTAAGTTTCTAAAAAGCTTGACTAGCGAGGTCAAGCTTCAAGCTTTTACAAGCCTAAGCAGGCCTAGATGAAACCTAGGCATAAAAAAGTGTAAAGCGTGCTTAGGCGTTTTAGAACGTTTGTTTTAACTATATTGAGGACTGACATTTGCTTTGTCTGTTGGCCTTTTTTGCATCACTCTGTTATGAACTGATATTGTTGGAATTTTTGATGGTCTGAAATTATCTAGCTATGGTTATTAATTGGTTCGAATTTTTTGGTTCAGTTGGAGCCGAGGCTGATGATGAGAGAATTGAATTGCTCTTATCTCAAGTTAAGGGCAAAGATATAACCGAACTGATTGCTGCTGGAAGAGAGAAGTTGGCTTCAGTCCCATCAGGTGGTGGTGCAGTCGCTGTTGCTGCACCCGCTGCTGGTGCAGGTGGTGGCGCTGCACCTGCCGCTGCTGAAACAAAGAAAGAAGAGAAAGTTGAAGAGAAAGAAGAGTCTGATGATGTAAGTTTTATGCTATATCCAGAAATGTACTCCTGATTTATTAATATAATGTTTAATAAAATTGGATGAATTCATCGGTTGTTATAACTGGTCTATTCGGTTTTTCTTACAGGATATGGGCTTCAGTCTGTTTGACTAAGAACAGCAACATTTGTCCTTCAGTATGAAACAACTCTGCAACTTACTATCATGAAGTTTATTCTAGAAGATCTTCCATCTGTTTATGTTTTTGTCATGAACCTTTAGTTTTGGGTTTCAGAATTTTCTTTGCTAAACAAGTTGGGGAAGACATTGAAGATATAATATTCTTAATTTGGAGTTTTATTTTCTTAATACTTTCGAATTTTAGTTTTTCCTATTTATTGTTACGGTGTGCTATAATCCATTTGATTTAAGTCTTATTATCTTGGCTTTGTTAGAAAGCAAAGTAATTTTCTGTTTATATAATCTCCTGTTAGCAGAAATTTATATGAAATAGGTGGATTATATTAATACTCGTTTAGGTGTTACTAGACATTGCTGAAGATATTAGTAGTCAATAAATTAGTGACGCCCGCACTATTACATGGACCGGTGCTATCCATCCAACATTTGTTTCTCCAAAGCTCATTAGCAAGAACTGTTTTCGGAGTATTTTGCACTATTATTTGGGATTCAACATACATCTTATGGATGATTCCTTTCGAATTTGGTTTCAAATTTGGAGATAAATTAAGTTTGTTACTATAGATAATATTTGAGCAATTATGTACTTATACTCACTATGATTTATATGGACTGAATTGAACGATGCTAAATATGGTCAGGCATATAGAAACAAACAGATTTATGTGGAGAATCAGTAATATGATACATCTCATGCATGTGGGGAGTTTGTTAAAATATGATCATTGGAAAGTTGATGTGAAATTAGCCTCTCGTTTTCACGTATCATTTACTAAACCACTTGCCAAAAGATGCCCCACTATTTTGTGATAGATTCAGCCACAGTGGTTAGATTGAGTTGAATAGAGATCGGTGTTTGTTTTGACTTCAAATTTAGTGTTTCATGCTAGGACAAAACATATGGTGGTAGATTTTTAATTGTCATAGAAGTGGTGAACAAAGACATACAGGTAAGAAATATTTCTGTGCAGGATCAAAGTGGCAGATGTATTTACCGAGTGCCAGACTGCCATGAGTTTCAAGTATCTATGCTTCAAATTGATGGTGACTCTTCCCCCCTCAATTTGTTGGGGGTGTTGAGAGTCTCCAATACTTGTTCGAGTTTTCAGATTCTCAAACTCTTGTACAACACATTCAGTTGTAACATTAACCTTTTCACTCCTTGAGAAGCTCCAGTCGATTGTAATATTGTCGTATGAAACAATATGAAGCATCCAAGCCGAACACTTTCAGTTCATTTATTCGTTACTTTACCCACTGGCCTTTGTATCATTGCATTTCTGTGATTTCTTTGGTACTTGCGTGAATTTTGAGACGGAGTTGAGGGCTATTCTTGTCTCCATTCTTGTTGGACACATCTCATGTTTGGATTAAGTCGGATTCTTTTATGGCTATTTAGGGTGTTATCCACAATTGGAAGCATATTCTTGAAAGGTCAGTTGGCTTCATCTTTTTTGCATATCGCATATTTATAGAGAAGGTAAGTGGCAAGCAGTATTGACTTGCTAATAATCGGGACGTTAAACAGTCTGCAAAGAGTTTCAAAAGCATGATCTTGAACTACAATTTCAAATCAGTCGTGTAGTACGTTGTTAACAAACTACTTGAGTAACAAACTAGTATAATAGTGCGCGCGCTCTCGCTCGCAGGCAAGCAACAAGCAACTCAAAGAATTGTCATCTTCTTAAAAGATCCTAGACGTGGAAATATATTCACCACTCCACACTACAAAGCCAAATGCCCAACTCAACCTACTCCAATTATTGGTACCTATGCTAAATTATAGCATAAAGAGTTTATGAAACTAATCCTAACATCAATACCTTAGAAGTCTCCTAAAAGAAGAACCATAAAACTACGCCCCAACCCCACTTTCTTCAATCAAATAAACATCTCACATGGAAGGAGTCAAGACCCCCACAAAATGGAATAATGATACAGAAATTAACACAAAAAAGTTAAATTTCGACATAAATATATAATTTATTGTTTTAAATCCTTTAAAAATAGCTTAGAAATGAAGGTAAAGTAATCAGTAGCGTAACCATAGTACAGTGTTGCATCTATTGTATGTCGAAGTCAAACATAAACTTCTCAATCATTGAATTTGAAATGTTACTTCATTAGCTTTAATATGGAGTTCATTATCCTCTCGACACTTTTCAGATTGATGTAAGGTCCTTAATAGTTTCACGTACGATATGAGGAATAAAAATCTCGCTATCAAGTAGATGAGGGCAACCATCTTATCAGTTATCACTCCATTCGCATTATCTTCTACATTTATGTCTAAAAGACTATTTTAATTTAGGAGGTTGTGGATTAACATTAGAGGCAGCTAAAGTGGGGGGCCAATGGGTTTTGAATGCAGTGCATGTCGGCATCATGGTTTACATGTAACATTGTCGACATCACAACAAAGGGCCATTGACTTTGATATAATAACATTGCTTTGTCTCCCCATTGTCACAAAACACCATTGCCTTCCAAACAATTCTGTAATAATCCCATGTTATAGAAATTGATATTTTCATCATTTTGTGACCAACTGTTACCTGTGGACACATTATATGTTATTTATATATGATTTGTCGAAACAATATTTTTGATTTGAAGTTCACATGCATAAAACATACGATGCGTGGGAATGATTAAACAACGAAGCATTATTCCTATAAGACGTAATTGTCGACAAGCTTGCACTACTAGTAATAGTCCACAATAGTTCCAGGACAACCTTCATCAGATAAATAATCTCCATTCACAGATGGAGGGATGAAAGGTGGAGCCGTACATCTCAAAAGTGCCCAATTCACTCCTTGAAAGAACGGATGGCGTCTAACTGGCGATGCGCCCATTTTCGATCCCATTCGGTATTCTGGATCTTTAACAAGCAACTGAGATATTAGGTCCTTTGCTGCGGCAGGTATAACAGGCTCTTTTGGAAACTCGAGGGCTCGAGCAATGATGTTCGCTAAGGTTAGCTCATGGTCCATACCTCGAAATGGTGTCACACCATAAAACAACTCGAAAATGAATATCCCTAAGGTCCACCAGTCCACTGCACTGCCATGGCCTTCCCCGGATACTATCTCTGGAGCCAAGTACTCGTGGGTCCCAACAAACGACATCGATCGAACATCAATCGGCTCGGCCACAAGTTCCGGACCTGCGTGGTGGCCTTGCTTCTTTTTACGCTTGCGCCTAGGATGGAAGCATGATACTGAAGGGACTATACAGTTGGGAAGAATGCAAGAAGTTGAGCCAAACGATGGTGGGTCGATTCTATATTCGCTTTGTGGTAGTGCATTGGACTTATTTTGAGTAGAAATTACTTGCACCGGTGTAGACGTTGAGTCATCACATCTTAAAGAGAGGTCAAAATCAGTCAACATTATATGACCATCTGTTCGAACTAATACATTTTCAGGCTTGAGATCACGATATACGATTCCCATCATGTGGAGGTACTCCAAAGCAACCACAACCTCGGATGCGTAAAATCTGGTATTATCATGAAATTAAAAGCCCAATTAATTAAATTAACAAAATAATTTTTGAACTGCAATAGAAATAAATATCAAAGGGAAAGAGTTGCTAATATGACAAAACTAATGACACGATTAATAATTGATAAGGCCTAATTTTTATATTATAAGTTAACATTACAATAATAAGTGTGTGTGTGTATATATATATATATATTTTTTTTTATTTTTTATTTTTTTTTGATAATCGTAGGAGTTCGCTTGTACGTACCTCGACTAATTCCACGAGACCTTAAAGTTTATGGCTAGGTACTTACCTCAGTGATCCTAAGGGAAGTCGAACTGACCATTAGGGAGCAACAATAATGAGTATTATAGTCTATCATTTGTGAAATTATAAAAAAGGACCAACTTTATTCGATGAAATGTAGGACCCTTCATTATGGTTCCTGAGTAATATAGAAATATAAAGAAAGAGCCAAGATCCTTTGCCCTACTTGTTCCTCTAAATTAAGTAATTATTGTATTTTATTTCAAAACGAATTAAGTAATCAGTGAGGATATTAGAGTAATTTTACTTGCAGGAGGGAAAAAAGGGTACTTTCTAACACTAAAGGAACAAGTTTAAAATAAAATTTTACATTCACAAGCAAACATGACTTTTGACAAATTATTAGAGTACTAACATTTTCCCCATTATTGAACTTCTTCACAGTACTGCAAGTACTGTTTTAGATAGATCAACATAGATACATACGTTGTATGTAGGACATAAAACTAAATGTCTCATTTGCCTATTAGTCAATTGAGCATGTTTCGTATATGGTATGTTTGCCTTTAGGTTCCTTGTCGTAATCAATCAAATCGCTAGTGTTTTTTCCGTCTTTTACGGACTATCTCGTACTTCTATTTAAAAAAGATGAACAATCAAAGAGTTGAAAGGTCAAAACAACAATCAAACGAGTTTCATATTTGTCATTTTTTTTACTTTTACATATATTCATATTGAACGAATCGATCAAATCTAATTCTTATGAAAATTCAGGTTTTCGCGAATGACTAATTGGCGCTATAAGTTTATCGAATAAGTCCACCTAGCTTTCTTCCAAATAAATTAACTTCATTCCAGACCAGATGGAAGCTATACCTCTTCTTGACATAGCTACATTGTCTGTACCTCCCTAGCTTTATTTGGACTTAATTGTCAAACAAATAATCAATCAGGGGTCCCATTATAATTATCTAAACATATGGGTGGTTCGGGGGGCCATCATAAATTCCAAGAGTTGCTTTGGACGGAATCCCTCTAAATACAGCAAAAGTTAGAGGAGCACATTCCGTTGATTTTGCCCTCCTTTTAAGGATCACAAATGAATGGGACGAATTAGAAAATTGCACATTGACAGTCGATTTTTAAAAGGGGCTAGACACCCTTTAATAATTCACGGACCATGTGATATAGTTGCTTCCTTAATCACATGAACTACTACTGCTACTATTACAACCTTAATAAAGTCAACAACAATAAAATTCAACCACAAATCTCACCTATAACCAACAATGTCCCTTTGATTATGGGTTTAAATCGGGTCGGGATGGCCTACCGGAAAGTGTAATTTTTTTCTTAGCCTTCGAAGACCTCGTAAATTCAACACATCTACTTAGTCTATGTTTGATACAGACTGTCTAAATTTTATTTTTCTGTGAATTCGTGCGTATCCTCAAGCTTTGAAACTCTCATTGCTCTTTACTAACGGGAACAAACCATCTTTTTACTTGGTGGTTTCTTGAAATCGAATTCCAAAAACAAATGAGAGGTTCCCCACTCTTCTTTGATCC